AGGATGCACTAGGTTGCCAAAAAATTATAAAAAAAAAAATGTTTTAAAAAGAAATAAAAAATTACAGAAGGTTTCTTACAGAAATGTGACAATATGATTTCTATAAAGATCTCCATGATTTATTCTGTCACAAACACAACTTTAGCCAGCAGATGGCGTTGCGATTCTATTTCTGCAATAAAGATTCAGTTTTTTTTTTTGAATGATATGCAGAAAGGATGGAAAGGTCCTTTTAACTCATGTCCACCATTAATTATTGACCCCCTCTAAAGTCCCTGCTGATGGCACCACAACAACAAATCCCAAATCCATTTCACGCATTTAAGAACTCTAAAAATACACTGCTACTTTTAAATGTCCGTAAATAGAAAAAGAAGAAGCTTCCCCCCATAATGGTGAAGTTACTCCATCAACCAGTGGAGGAAAAGCGGTTCCTGAAAATCTGGCAATTCTTGAACCATCAGTCAACACAAACTACAAGTCTTTCACCAGGGCCGACTCCAACTCATTTTTTGGTAACACTTTATTTTAAGGTGTCCTTTGTACACGTTACATGTACTTACTATTATAATAACAATAAATTATGCATAATTACATCCAAGTAACAAAAGGCCAAACCCTAACCTAACCATATAGTAAGTAAATGTAGTTAATTACTATTACTCAATATTTAAATGTGTAAATACACTGTAACAAGGACACAAAATAAAGTGTAGCCCTTTTTTTCAGTATGCATGCATACATCATATCTATATGAAAGTAAATGTTTGATCTTTATGGACATGATACAAATTAATTATTTATTCATATCCTTTATTGCATTTTTGGAAAGTTGCACCACATGTCATTTTTTAAAATGACCTAATTATGTTTTCTCCCCTGCATGTATTTCCCCCCTTATAACTAAAATCCTATGCCAATACTTAATAAGATTTTCTTTTCAATAATTTTATTATTTTAATTAGCCCTTTTCTTCATTAATTTCTATCCTATAGCATAGTTGTATAATCCTGATTTCCTTTTTACTGCATGCCACCCCCCCCCCCAAAAAAATTGGAAAATCGATTTTTAATTCCGAAAAAAAACAAACAAAAGAAAAATTTATATGAGGTGTTTTCAAGTCATTGCATGTATGAATTAAATTTTTTATGTGTTTTTGGAAAAAAAAACAAACATCCAAACAAAAACATTACAGACCTAGAGGCTGTCTATTGGATTTGCAAGGGCTTTGTGAAGAAGGCCTTCAGCTCTGCTCTGAAGATCCTGTGTAGCTTGTTTTGTCTGCAGATTCAATTTACCTTTGCAGATGGCTTCAACAGCGCTTGTATTCTCATAATACATCTCAAGGTTTTTTAGATCAGTGTATTACAAATGACCCATAGAGCACATCTATGACTCCTCATGTCGGCCATCTATAATTTGATTCACAAAGGTTGAGCTGTGTTTCGTACAGCTTTGCTGGTCTTCAGCGTTTCCTTAGTGAAATTCACGAGGGACTGTTTCAGCAGAGATAAACATGGCCTCTATGCCAGGCATCGGTGTTTGGTATAGGACCTGACTGAGACATCAAAAGTGCATTTGAACCCATTAAAATGTCACTAGGAAGGATTCTCATGTTGATTTAGCTCTGTGATATAAACTTGTCTCCGCATCACATCCAGAGCGTGTTGTGTTACATTGTGAGTCATAAACAGATCATAAGCAGAGCTGTATTGTTTATAATTGCGTCGACGGTATTGTTTTTTCTGCTTTCAACATGTCTTACAATAACAAGTGCTCAGGCAATAGCAAAAGGAACAAAGTAGCTGTGATGCACGCAATGGTTGCATCTGAAATTTTTGTAGGCAAAAAACAGCATGTGAAAAGAGTAGTCCGAATTCATTATGGTCATAAAACAGTAGGCGAAAAGTCCCCAGATAACCTACTACTTTTGGCAAGATGATAAGTGCACTTCTAATGGTCACTTTTCTATCCCATGAGGCCACAGGAGAGGATTTGTGAATGGCAGTGAAGCGACATAACTGACACTGTAGGTCACATGACAACATGACAAATATAGCACATCCAGATTAAATTCATACTGAACACATTCACACGATATAGAACATACTTTTTAATGTCTGTGAAGTGATTACTTATTCAAAAGACTGTCTACACAGACAGTATGCAATTTAGGATGCTGTCAGTGAGATGAAGCAGAATATAGGCCCAGAATCTCCCAGAATGCATTGCAACAAGCTCAAAAAATTCCATATAAGATGGTGGAGAAAGTGAGATCAATAAAATAATACCAAAAAGTAGAAGTATTCTTATGCTTATCAGAGATTTTCATTGTTAGCAACATGCTAGCTTCTTTTTCTAAACAGTAGATTTTAGCTTAGCTTGGCACAGCTATTTTTGTGTGGAACAACTCAGCTACATTTCCTGAATAGCTTAATTGTCTAACACTGGAAATCATTCACTTATGAGCCGGGATAGATGAAAAATAAGTAGTTTAAGTGTAGCAAGCTACTTTTGTCATGTAACTTGTGGTGTAATTAGCTAATTTTTCTAAACATTATGGCTGTGTCCGAAATACCCCTACTAGTGCACTATTTTGAGTGGACAGACATTGGTAGTGGGCATTATCGAGTGCACCTCAAAAATAACTAGCTCTTTCTTGCTTAGCTTAGCGTAGCTCATTTTTGAACGTTCCACTTTTTGTTTTTTGATTGGGATGCTTATATGTAGGCAATGGACATCATCATAAAAGAGGTTATGAAACGGAGCCCATGTCTAAGAATGGAGTACTAATGACTGACATGGTTACGCTCAGTGTTGCCAAGTCTGTGGTTTTCCCGCCGAATTGGGCTACTTTAACACTGTTGCCGTGGGTTGTTTTTCATGTCCGCGGGTTGAACCGACTTCAATAACATGATATTTATCCCCTGGAATGTGAATTTTAGCAGGGGAACCCCGCCAAAAAATGTGTATTTTACCATCGGAACGTGATTTTTAACTTGGGACCCCCTCGAAACGCGATTGGGCTAGTTTTGAATAGCGATTGGGCGGGTTTTCTTGTGAAAATCTGGCAACCCTGGTTACGCTGTGGGCAGTATGTGCTCTTTTCTGTGTATTCTGTGAAAAGGCGTATATTACATGAGTACACCATGTCCTATTTCTTTAATGAATACTTGGTACAATGGTGTCTTCATTTGCAGCCATCAGATGTGACCTACAGTCATAAGTAATAGGTAGAGGCCGACGTTACATGACATGTATACATGAAAGAGCAGGATGAGGTATCAAACCCATCTTCGTAGATAACAAGCGCTGATATTGTCGACAATGTGCTGTGATTATAAACAACCAAATCTCTAGGCAACTAGTCAACATTGCCCAAAACAGCTGTGCAAGCAGAACAACGCTGCAAGATGTTATCATTAGTGGTGTTTGCTAAGGTGGTTGCTCATTATACTTAGAGTTAGGGATTCCAACAAGCCCCAACCCTAGATATTAAACATGTCCAGATATATAGCTTGTCCTGCACACCCATCATGTGCCCGTCATTATCTTTTTTATGGCTTGGCAAGCTTATAGTGCAGGTTGCAAATTGTCATATGGAGCAACTCCTCAAAAATATTAAAGATCCTCTGCAGTGAATGGGTGCCGTCAGAATGAGAGTTCAAACAGCTGATAAAAACGTCACAATAATCCACAAGTAACTCCAGTCCATCAATTAACATCTTGAGAAACCAAAAGCTGCACGTTTGTAAGAAACATCATTAAAATGTTTTTAACTTTAAATCATCACTTCTAGACAAAATATCCATAATAACGCTTCCTGCAGTAAAAAAGTCCATCTCCTGTTGTCCTCCCACATATTTGTTTAGAGCTGTTTTCGATTGTTTTCACTTCTAAATGGTGTTTGATCTGCGCATATTTCTCTTTATAATATTCTCTTCTCTAATTTTTCACAGAAGGAAGCAATATAATGGATAGAGGACACATTTTATCCGGAAGTGATGGTTTTAAGAAAGAAAAAAATGTCCTATTGATGAATTTATTACAAATATGCAGCTTTTTACTTCACAAGACATTAACTGATGGACTGGAGTGGTGTGGATTACTTGTGGATTATTGTGATGTTTTTATCAGCTGTTTGGACTCTCAATCTGACGGCACCCATTCACTGCAGAGCATCCATTGGTGAGACACTGATGCAATGCTACATTTCTCCAAATCTGATGAAGAAACAAACTCATCTACATCTTGGATTTGTTGAGGGTGAGTAAATTTTTCGCAAATTGTCATTTTTGTATGAACTATTCCTTTAATGCATTAATAATTTATAATATTTTTTAATCTTAAAACTATGTTCAGTTTTGGAAAAATGAAATATTTAACATGCATACTGACACCTATTCAAGGTAGGTAAGAAAAATATGGTATTCTTGAGGATTACACCACATCTTTAGTCATTTAATTGAACCTTTTCTTAAATGAAACCAACATTAGTACAAAGATTACATTTGTAAGAACTTGGCTCTTGTGTTTTAAACTTGTTTTTTCAAAGTTTTATTTTCTTTATTGTGGAAACTCCTATTTGACCTCCTTGGGAGCAGGTGGTGGATAGGAAGGGTTTAATAATACGCACACTGATATCAGCCAAAAAGGAAAGTAATTTGAAAGGCAGACCACGTTATTACATTTTGAAAAAGGTCAAATTTATTATTATTTTTTGGAATAACATGCACTAATCAATCGTGCACAGTAAGACCAGAAACAAGTGAAAATGAGAAAGTAAATGGGGTCAATTTTCACTGTAGAAAAAATACTGCCCAACCATTACTCATTTTGACTGAAAAAAAGAAAAAGCGAAACCCAGACTATTTATGATGGAATGAACACTTGTCACTGTGTGAGTAACATGTGCAGCAGACCTATCACAGAAGTAATATGGTGTTGCTAAGAGACATGGCAAATGTCAGCTGGCCGCCTCATCATCATCCTGTTGCTTGCTATCCGGCTCCTTCTGCCCGGCCGCCGTTAATTAACACCTGGATTCTCTTCGGATGAATCAGTTCTGCTGGAGCTCTGCGGTTGCCAGGTGCCTGAAGAGTGACAAGCATTTGCTGAAGGTGGTTAAAAGCACCATTTCCTTAGTGCCCATTTACACCCTTTTATATTATGCTGTTTCTGTTTGATTTGAAACACACTGAGGAATTCATAAATTCAGCCCTTTTGTTATGCTGTGACAAGAGTATTGTCCGAGTATTCACCGCCATGTTGTTAGGGTGTTGTGGTTTATTGCCAGGGCATCACTATGTGGTTGCTATATGGTTTTAGCATGTTTCTATGTGGTTACTTTGGTATTTGTATTGTTTGCCTGAACAAAACTCATTGCTATGATGTTTGTGTCAAAACCATGCTATGTGGTTGCTAGGTATTCTGAGTCATTTTCAGTGTGTGATTGGTAGAATGGTTGCTAGAATGTTCTGGATGGTTGCTAGGGCATTGCTAGGTGGTTTTGTAAATGTATTGTAGTATTATTAGTACAAAACTCATAGGCCGTGAGGCTTCTGTCAACACAATCACACTATGTGGTTAGCAGGTGCTCTGGGTTGTTGTTAAGGTGTCATTTTGTGGTTGCTATGGTGTTGCTAGGTAGTTGTTAAGGCATTGCTGTGCTGTTGTTTTAGATGTTCTGAGTAACGGCCAAAACACACTGTATGATTTTCGGCTGTCCCAGACGAAAGATTGGGTTCGTGAAACAATCGAGGTGATTTCTGTGATCGTGGCGCCTAATCGATGATCCTGTGTCGTACAGTGAAAGAGGTTCAAAGACGGCCGTTGCCACAGTCTTGCGACCAAAGCCTATGGTACAGCATGATCATGGCACAGTGTGTTTGCTGCTACGATCCACGTTTACTGACCTACCAATAAAAATGCGACATGAAATCAACGCGACATGGCACTAAAACATAAAACTGCTTACCACAAGCTCTTATCTCTTCCTCTTTCGCTGCTTCCACTTTTTTCAGCACACATAAAAACTACCAACACATTCTTACTCCCAACTTGTCACATATTGACGCTTGGTCAGGACCCCTTGGCGTCGCTTTTTGACGCTCAAGGTACCCATTTAGCGCCATTTTTCGATGTGCAGTGTCCTCCATTGTTTTCGGTTGTTTGTCTTAATTTAATAGTTTGCATGCATTTGTAAAAAATATAATTTTATATAAATTTATACTTTTATTGGAGCACCTAACACCACCCCTACCCTAAACCTACCCACTTCTGAACAATATAAAACACATAACAGGCAAATAAGTGCAGTCACAGGTATTTATTGCAAAAACTGACCATAAACAAGCAGTATAAAAGCATTACAAACAAGTCGTGTTGCATTCCAATTCTTCTGAAGCCATACGATGTCTTTATGCGAAGAAGAGTAAAACATAAGGTTTTATTCGCTGAAAATGATCCCGCTCCGTTAACGCGCTCACATCTCATTCAGAAATATACTCTTGTCCCGTAGAATGACACAATCGGTCATGAGCCATACAAGAGCCAATAGCATTTCACAACCAAGGCTGACGTAAGGCTAAGAGGACGATATCCGCTTCGTCATGCCTAGATCTGATCTGTGCTGGTCGCTGAGGAAATACATCAACTTAGTGCTGTGGATCGCCGGATCGAGTCCAGCCTGGGGTCGTCACATGTGGTTGCTGCTCCTTCGTCGGATCCGCCGGCCGCGCCGTTCTCAACCCCGCCACCTCTGCTCACTCTAGCCCAGCCTCAGCTCACGCTAAGCCGCAACTTCCGCTCACGCTAGGCCGCCGTGTTTTTCGTTGTGAAGGCGAAACTACTTTGTTTGGTCTTCCAAAAGAGGACGATATCTGCTTCGTCATGCCTAGATCTGATCTGTGCTGGTCGCTGAGGAAATACATCAACTTAGTGCTGTGGATCGCCGGATCG